GCTGGCGCCGGGCTGGGCTGCGGAGCTCTTCCTCTAGGTGGCGGACTTCGGGGCCCGACAGCCACGAGCGCGGCGCCGACTGCAGACTCAGGGTGAAGCTGCTTGCTGGTTAAAAATAATAATAGTAATAATATGGAGGTGTGGGGCTGGTTTTCCTTCTTTCTTTCTTTCTTTTTTTTCTTCTTCCCCTTTTGGATATTTATTTATCGCAGGAAAAAGTCATTGATTTTTCCTCAGCAAACTGTGTTTCTCCTTCACTTGGTGGAAAATAAAAACTGTTTGAATAAATAAGTTATTTCTGAACATTTTGTTGTCAAAGTGTTAAATGTTCCCGTCATTTTTATTCAAACACTAACATGATTACAGCCAATTATATATTCACCAGTGTTCTTTATTTTAGAGTAATTGTACTTGTCACTAATAAAACAGAGGCATAATGGATCGCTACTATTCTGGATTTGCAAGCAATTTTGTGTAATTTGATTGAATTATACATCTTATCTGCTACTTTTTTTATTTTTATATTTGGAGATCCTATTTTCTTGAAAATTGCAGCTCTGTGCTTGTTTTGTTGTTTCTCCAGTAACGTACACTTCGGTAACACTGATAAATAGAAAGAATCCCTTGGAAATGTCAAAAATCAGCTCCCCCCTCCGCCCCCCGCGCACTTCAGTTGGGGCGGGGGCCTGAACTCTGCGCAGCGAGGCAGTCTGAGAGAGTGGGTGCGCTTCTCCAAAAAGTTCCAAGCCAGATACATTCCCCATTCGTCCTAAAGGCAGCCGCCTCCCTGCCAGGAGTCTTTGGGGGCTTTGTCTCTTTCCTGTAATGATACTGTTGGGTGTCTGGGGCTTCAAACATGCCACGACAAGCAGGCCATGAGTTCAGTTCACATGCAGTAAGTATCAAGGGAAAGAATATAGACAGCGGCGGCCGAAAGATAAACTGTATGCATTATCTCAATTACACAACCCTCAAGCGCCCTACCTACCAACCCACCCCCAGCCTAGCATTTGCGACTATCATCTATTCGCCTACATTCTTTCAAATATACCTAAAGAACTGGATCAATAATGTCTCCCCCTCCCCATATTTTAGACCATTGCAATATTTTTTTTTAAATGATAAGGAGAAAAGACGCACTCATCTACCCATTGTTTCCATAAATCGGAGCTATCAAGGAATAACATGACAGCCAACCGATAGGACGCAGGATATTAAGGAACCGTCTCCGAAACTGAAGGAGCAGGGAATGAGGAATTATCTTCCCAGTAAATCCTTCCAGTTCGTAGGACTCGACTCCAACGCCCCGCTAGGAGCTGCAGCTGCGAGATGGAGCCAAAGGCTCTGACAAGTGGCTTGTGTATGACCCAATATTTATCAATAACAACAACAACAACAAAATCAAGCGAAACCAAGACTGGGGATTTTGAACTGCTTCTGAAGCCCTGGCGTGGATACGCACGTGAGCGGGGGGAGGGTGGGGTGGGGGGGGGAGGTCGCTGGAGATGCGTTGGCTCCATTTGTCCGCCCTGGGGAGCAATCCTGGGGCAAAATCCAGTGCTAATTGATCCCAACCAGCCACACTATCAGCTGTAAATGTTCAAAGAAACAAAGAATGAGCAGTGTGTACTGAAGATACGCTAAGCATTTCCCCCCCAAGTAAATAGGGGCGTGTAATCAATAGCGTGTACATGCATATAAATAGGGAGAGAGAATTACTTTTAATTAATTAGGAAAATAATGTTTCCTGTGTCATTCCAGACTTCCTTCGAATCGAGTATCTCCCACCCTCCGATTGTTTTGTGGTGGGAACTTCCTCCAGAAAACCTGCGGGCCCCGTTTTGTGTTGGGAGTTGGAGAGCGATACTCAGCTCGAACAGGAGCCATTCTCTCCGCTTGGTGGGTGTTTAATCTAAGGCCAAGGGTTAGACGGGCCGATGCAGCGGTCCTGGCGCGGCGTCGGGCCCCGCGGGCGGCTACGGGGGGCGGAAAGTTGGGGCCGCTTCGGGTGAGCCCCGCGCTCCGCGGCTGGGAGACCCGCGCGACTGCCTGCCGGCCCCACCGACTGCTCTCGAAGGAAGTTGGGCTCTTTCAGCGTGTCCATCTCCTCGTAGCCTCGTCTATCTTATCTATCAAGTTCACGCTTTGGGAGAAAAGAAGAGGATGAGGGGAGAGGGAAAAAAAAAGAAAAAGAAAACCTCTCCACGGCGGTGATTCAACAGTTCACACGCTCGGGAGCCAAACTTGGCGACCCTCCTTTCTTCTTAAACGGTACTTTCTCCTCTGCCGGCCTTAGGATAAACCCAGAAGGAAGACGCTAACCTTGGTGAACAGGAATCCATCTAAGATTGCTTTTTTTAAAAAAAAGTGACACTCCTCCCCACCCCCAGCTTTGTGGCTGTTGATTCTGAAATAGAGGAGTCAGGTTGTTTTATGTCCACAGGATAACATCGACTTGCCCTGCATCTTGCTCTCGTCTCCTTCTCGCATCTGGCTCCTGTCAACGGGAGCCCAAGAGAAATAGGGGCTTAGCTGCTCTCCCTCACCGGGCTCAATACCCCTTACATGCCATTAAATATTCGAATTCACGTCACCTGCACGCACACCCCCAGTCTTTTAACCGAGTCGTGCTTGATACCAATACAAGCTTGGAACCTTTGGTTTCTTTTCATCTCCCGCGTCTCCGTGGCAGATGACCTCAGCCCCAAAATATGGATCTGCGTGAGTGTATCTGGTCTGATGTGCCACAATCGAGACACCCAGGCTGAAAGGGCCACTTTCAGCGGGGAACATCCGGAGATGAAACCTAGAAGCAAGACCTCGGGCCTGACTGCGCGCCGCAGGCATCCTCAACAAAGGAGCGCGCGAGCGCGCGGGGGGCAGCCGCGCGCAGGCCGGGAAACCCGAGCTCCGCGACGCTCGTCGCCACCAGGGTCGCTGGGTCCAGTCTTAGGAGGGCCCCAAGGGGATGGGCAGGGGAAGAAGAAGAGCTGAACCTTTGAGAAACGCTGTTCCAACAGATTTTCCACCGCCTTACCGGGATAGAGGGGAAGACCTACCTAAAGGAACCAGCGCTTGAGAGTGAGGGGGCAGGTGGGTGAGAAGTGAGCAAGAAGTAGAAAAACGGATCCATTGGTTTGTTCACACCGGGCTTTAGAAAGAAAACAGATTTATTTGATTAGTAGCTACAACTCTCCCCACGTGAAGGGGGGTTTTGGAATGGAGGGCTCTGTGTGCCCTCCTGGCCTGCTCACCCCCACTCATGCAGTTTTCTCTCCTCTCATTCCTTTGCAAACCTTCAGTGGGTGCCAGCATTTTGTAGAGCATACTTAACAGTCTTATATACAATCCTCAGACTGTTCCATGCTTTCTGTGTACCTTTAGCTTTTGAGCGGTGAGTAGACCAGAGATGACTGCCTAATAGGGTTGAGTCAGACTGTTTCATCTTTTTTTACCCAGCTGTAATTTGGGAAACCATTTGGAAGTGTGCTTCAGAGTAGAGAAGACTTGATTCCCATGTTTTCAGTAGGGTCCCATCACACAGCCCAAAGTAGATGATCTGGGCTCCTACTAAAAACACACCGAAGCTCCAACTAATTAAGTGAGATAGCTAAGAGCCGACTCTCAGGAGCTTAGTACTTGGAGGCCTGTGAGTTTTTCTTTTAACCTGATGTATATATTTATAAAGTGGTTTTCTTTTCCAGTGTCCCACTGACGGAAAGTTCAAGGTAGCATTGTTTTGTTTGCTTGGCTTTTGCCAAGTCTCACTTTCTCTTCTTTCAGATAGACTAGAGGGTTCAAACTAAGGACCAGAGCTCTAGCCTTCCTCACTCTGGTTCACCACCACCCCTCCCACTCTTTCTCTTGAGCTTTCCCCATCCCCTCTGAAAGAGGGACTGAATCAATTTTCTTGGGCAAGTAGAGGGGAAAAAATGGGAATTGGCCACTCAGGACATGCTTGCCCAGTGGTGTGGAGCCATTTCTCGCAACTGGATCTGAGATCTAAAAATGGAACAGGGCTGCCATCCCACTATCTGGGACTCAACCTCTTCTGCAAAATCACCCACCTACCCTCAAAAGTCCAGAGTGCACTGGCAAATAACGGAAAGCAGGTGAAAGGATATTGGGCATTTTATGTTTACAGGAGATGTGCAGACTATTCGACTAAGAAGTTGTTTGAAAAACTAAAATGTCCCTTGGCCCTCGGGTGGCAATTTGTCATGAATCTCTTGTGCCTGGCTCTCTTCTGAGTAATATTGGTACAAAGCTTCCACATTTTGCTGAAGATCCCAGGACTTTTCCTTTGGATGCCTAAGTACTTGGCTTCAGAGAGCCTTGGACAACTGACTTGCTTACACAGACTTGTTTAGAGAATCCCAAGGGTCTCTATCCAGTCCTTCTTCCTCCTCCTCCTCTTCTTCCTCCTCCCCAGCCTCCTTCTCCTTTTCCTTCTCCTCCTTCTCCTTTTCTTCTAATCTTGGACTTTCTCTCTTTTGAAGAGGTTCCTTAGCTTATACAAGTTAAACACTTCCACTCTCATATACGAGGCTCTCCCATAGATTTTTTTTTTCTCGAGGTTCTCAAGCAAAATTGCCGGTGCCACAATGTTATGATGGAAGGATGCTGAAATGACAGGCCTAGTAGACGCTTGTCTTAATCATCGGCTTCTTAATTTAGTTTTAGTGCTTTGGGTGTGTGTGTGTGTGTGTGTGTGTGTGTGTGTGTGTACACACACGCACGAATGTGCGCGCCCCCAGGGACGTTGAGGGTGCGTGCGCGCACTGAGAGCAGCCGCTGACAACCTGCAGCTCCCTAATGAGTGACGAGGCAGGGCTGCTGCAGCAAAGTAACACTTCCCTGGTGTGAAGACCTCTCACTGGGAAGTTTAGTTCACTACTGTTCTCGCAAACCTAATCATATAACCTGTAACCAAAAGGCACAGAACAAGGATACAACACGCTAAAGAGTAACTTCTAATCACTAAATGTTAGCACCATTACCTGCTGTTAGGAAGATATTATAGACGAGTTGGCTCCAGCAAGGGCAGACCTCGCTTGCTAGAGGATCTCTGGAAATACCTGGATACCTCCGCATAGGATCCGCTCACGCCCAAACACCACAAGGTCAGAGATTCCCTGTGCATCTGAAGGAAAAGAGCATTAGCTAGAGTTGGGCTTTGGGCGCCGCTCCAAGGACACCCTGTCCAGGGAGCCAAGAGCAGGGTGGATTTTAGGTAAATATGGTCAGCCCTCCTTTAACCAGCAGGTAGCGGAGAGAAATGAAGAGAAACACTAACAGCGAGAAAAAGGCCCTATGGAAGGCTAAAGGTAACACTGCCAAATAATAGGAAAATGAAATATGCTGCTCTCTACTTGGATGAAGTATGCTGTGGAGACTTGATTATTAATTAAAACTCCAGAAGGAATAACCTAATTCATTTCCTGAGCAATTCTTCCATTGGAACTGCACACTGTATACAAGGCCTGTGCTCTTTGGGGGAGGAGAGACTGCAGACAGGAGAGAAATTTACTCCTATATATACCAGAAAATTATATTTGCTCTGGCTTCTGCTTTTATTCGTTAACAGTGCACATTTGTAGATGTATGTGCATAAGCAATCAAGGTTAAATTGATCATGAGAAAAAAATTAGAATGATAGGGAATTTGTTTCAGGTCTGAGACAACTGGGTTCCCTCTGTCTTCTGAAGGCAATTGCAGAGACTGAGGGGCTAGAAATAGGGCTTCATGTGCTTAGGGAAAAGGCCTGAGGTGGACGTGGGTAGGCCTTCAAATCCAATTTGCACCCAAATTGGCCAGTAGGATATACAAAGGCCTGTCCACGGACTTTCAACTGGCACAATACACTGGCCAAGAACCCCTCCCCCTCCATTTCAGCTAGGAACAGATCTTTTAAAAAGCCATTGCTGAGACAAACACTGGCTGCTGAGTAAACAGTGCCTGTGTTGTTGAACAAGTGGAATATATTATATATATATATAATGCATATATATATATTACTATACTAATATATATTACAATCCCACCATAAAATGCAATCAAAATTATTAAAAGGAATTCAAACTCACTTCCTCTCAAAATGAAAATAACCTTTGTCATTTGATTTTAAATATTAAGCTATATACTACTTATTCCCACCAAAATCCTATTTTGAGAAACTTACTTTAATGCAATCCTTGAAATAATATAACACATTCTTAATCTGAATGCAAAACATTTTCTCCCAGTCAATATGAACTCCTGGCATACAAAATCAGACTATTACAGCTCTCATTAGCAAACCCTAGTTTTTACTATTTGAAAGTAAACAGAAGAAAAACTTATTTTCACCTGCTAAAATTTTATACAAGATTACAAAACAATGCACACTCAGCTTTGACCTAAGAAACACCTTAAAACATTAAAAATTCATCAGTCAGAGCTGTTGTTGTATTCAAGGAATGCTCCTCCAGTTTGCTGCTGAGCTCAGATTTGAATAAAATGTCCAATGTTAACAAACAATACCCACGTTTGGCACTTTGTGTATTAAATTGATCAAACAGATTTTAGGAGGCACAATGCACAATTTGTACAGACCTGATTGAGTTAATATAATATCAGCAAATTTTACATCGAAATGATTCTGTTTCTTTTCTTTGTGTTTAAAACCAGCACAGATTACAAATTTTAATGATCTGAAAATGTTTGGTATACAAAATCATGCTTATTTCAGTATTAGCAAAAACACAAGAAATTTTTCAACACAAACACCCAGCTGTGTCTATTTTAAAAGCAGTTCAATGACAGCTTGCACTTATGAGCATGCAATCAGCTAATTTCGCTTTTTTTTCTTCTGTGTTAATCAACACTTTCCTTCCTGCATATCAGAGTACAAATAGTATAGTTACTCCACATCAGTAAATGTTTACGTAACCTGTCCTTTCCCAAGAATCCGGTTACACCGAATCATTTCACGCTAGACCGACTACGAAAACGTACCGGGCCGTCCACCTCAGAGGGAGCCCTGTGTGTCATTATAAGTGGTGGTGAGAAGGGGGGTTGTGGGGGGAGAAATTGGGAGGAGTAGGTGGAGGAAGAGAGGGAGAGTGAGGGAGGGAGGGAGACA